GGCTCTTGAATTTTAACAATCGTACTTTATGTACTTTTATACAACAACCTTCAGTGAACAAGATTCCTATATTTGCCTTTAAGATCTTTCTTTCATTAACATAAAATAAACTTTTTAATCCTGATATGTAGCTTAATTGTGAGTTCTACAGTGCTAGGTATGAATGTTGCCACTCTGACTTTCCTTTTGTTGATATTTGTCCTCTATCTCATCAGGTCTTTTACTTTGAATATTTCTCTGTCATTACGTAAGTGTGTCCTTTATAAGCAACAAAGAGTCGAATTTTATTTTGTAATTGAACTGAAAATGTTGGTTAATTTAAATATTTTGAAATTTTCATATTTATTGCTGTGATTTCTATGCTTAGGTACTTTTTCCCATTCTATTTACTTCTTTGCTATTTTGTCTGATTTCTTTGTTTCCTTTTACCTTTTTTAGTGATTTTGAGGATAAGCATCCTGTTTGTAAGAGTCAGTGGTTACTTGAAGGTTTAAAAAAATCGTACAGGGCTTCCCTGGTGGCGCAGTGGTTGAGAGTCCGCCTGCCAATGCAGGGGACACGGGTTCGTGCCCCGGTCCAGGAAGATCCCACATGCCGCGGAGTGGCTGGGCCCGTGAGCCATGGCCGCTGAGCCTGCGCATCCAGAGCCTGTGCTCTGCAACGGGAGAGGCCACAACAGTGAGAGGCCCGCGTACCGCAAAAAAAAAAATCGTACGCTTTCTGTAAAATTCACATTTAAAAAAACAGAACAATGACTTTCTTTTATAAAGTGTATTCTTCATTTTTTTAAAATAAATTTATTTATTTATTTTTGGCTGCTTTGGGCCTTCGTTGCTGCACGCAGGCTTTCTCTTATTGTGGCGAGCAGGGGTTACCCCTTGCTGCGGTGCACGAGCCTCTCATTGTGGCGGCTTCTCTCGTTGCAAAGCCCGGGCTCTACGCTCGCGGGCTTAGTAGTTGTGGCATGCAGGCTCAGTAGCTGTGGCTCGCGGGCTCCAGAGCGCAAGCTCTGTAGTTGTTGGGCTTAGTTGCTCTGCAGCATGTGGGATCTTCCTGGCCCAGGGCTCGAACCCGCATCCCCTGCATTGGCAGGCGGATTCCTAACCACTGCGCCACCAGGGAAGCCCCAGAACAATCACTTTTAATTTCCTTTTACGGAGTGTTTGCTCTGCCTGTGTTTCAGTACTCTCCACCACCCCTGCCTCCTTCAACCCAAGAACATCTTCCTTCTTTGTTAATTTATCTGAGGTATTACAGCTTGTCTTTTTTTAAAGACATGGATGATCTCTTTTACTGTTTTTTCTTTTAAATCTTTAACTATATTCATCATAGCTTCATTCTCTTTCCAGTCTCCTGCTTTTAATGCTCAGCTCCAAGCTTTCCCACCTAGATGTTTGCATCCTTTATGGTTAGTATCTCTTGGAGATCTAAAGTTTTGCCTCCTGGAGGCAGTTTTCTCCTGGAAGCCACACATACCTGAGTGTGGCTGTCTATGACCTTCACACCTGAACAGCCACTCAATTGGGCATGGAATTCGTGTTGCTCAAATTTTCTCCCTCAAAACTTTTCTGGTATTAATTATTTTTTCAGAGAGGTTTCCAGGAGACTGGGTTGGTTTGTTCACAGATGTTTGTAAGGTTCTGTATTAATGACATTTAAAGGTATAAGTGGGACATCTGGGAGTGGTTTTCTTTCCAAAAATTTTGAGTGAAACATGGCTCCTCTAACCCAAGTTCTCATCTTCTCTGTTGTTCATTTCAGTGCAGCCCCACCTCTCAGGCACCAGCTGCTGGTGGTTAACAAAGGTCCTCTCAGGCCCTTCACGTCTATTCACAGACCTGATTTGCTTGACCCATGACCTTTCCCCATTCATTCTATTTCCTTCCTAGTATGAGGCTGGAAACAGGGCCCTGGTGACTGACAGCCCAGCTGGGGCCATGCTCTAGCTAACGACTGGGCTCCGTGGAAGCACTGGTCCTGGGAGATTCCTGCTAGACATGGAACTTCTCCAAGGGGCAACTTGTGCTTAGGGACCCTCCGTCGACCTGGCCCATCATTCTCAGAGCTGCACTGTGGTCTGAGGGCTCTCCCTGTCCACTCCTATCCCTTTCCCTTTATCCTTCACAGGCCTTTCCCCTAGTAAATCTGTCAAGTGTCTAATATTGTCTAAGCATCTGCTTCGCAGCCTCCCACCCACCCACCTTACAGTGCGATCAGTTGATTGCAGTGGGTCCCTGAGTTGACCGGAACAGGAGCTATCGACAGCTCCAGGCAACGGATCAAGGGTGGGGAGGTTGCTGGCTCCTACTACCAAGTAGATTGGTTTTTACTGGCAGCCCATCTTTGAGAAAAAAATGAGTATTTTATCTCTTGCTGCAGCCTGAAGCCTTTTTATCTTATTCCAGTGAAGTTCCTGATCTTTTTATAAAAAAGATTGTTTAAAAGATGGTTTCCTTGAACTTTCAGAGGGAATTCAGAGGATTTATTTTTTAGAGTCTCTGCTCACTCTACCATTAGCTGGAAGTATTTTTTTCAACGTAATTTCTTTTTGCTAGTCCACAGAGTGCTTTTCTAGCTTCAAAAATTACCATTTGAAAAGCTCCCATTTGAAATCATTCAGGGGACTTCCCTGGTGGTCCAGTGGTTAAGACTCCTCACTCCCATTGCAGGGGGCCTGGGTTCGATCCCTGGTCAGGGAACGAGATCCCACATGCCACAACTAAGAGCCCGCCGCAACTAAGACCCGGCACGGCCAAGTAAATAAATAAATAAATATTTTTAAAAAATGAAGTAATTCAGCAATTCAAATGTGGCCTTTAGGATCGTCCTGCTGAAGGACACTGATAGCGGAGTTTTGTCTCTTTTCCACACAAACACCTGGTACAATCAATTCAGACAAACCCCAGCGTCCTAGAATGGATGCTTTCCGTCAGGCCATTTTCCTCTGTTTTGCATCGGTTTGTTCAATTCAGCCGTGTTGTGGGCTTGAGTTTGGGTTTATCTCTGAGCATCACCGATTCTTTTCTTGGCCACTTCAGTTCTAATCTTTGAATCATCAGCGATGTGCACTGGGTTCACCCATGGAGTCTGCCTGAGCATGACCCAGCCAAAACCAGATGCCCAAGTTCCTTTTTTTTGCAGTCTTGTCGAATCTCTTTAAGCACAAGCTTGTATTTGTTCTTATCTTTGCGGTTCTTGGTTTTCTGCTGTTTCTGATGTTGAAGGTGACTTCTCTGAGCCAAATGAGTCTTCCTCTTTGGTGCTGCAACACCTTTCAGTTGGATCGGATTGGGTTCTTGCCTGTTCTCACCACTTTTCTTTTTTTTTTTTTTTTTGTGGTACGCGGGCCTCTCACTGTCGTGGCCTCTCCCGTTGCGGAGCACAGGCTCCGGACGCGCAGGCTCAGCGGCCATGGCTCACGGGCCCAGCCGCTCCGCAGGGGCACGAACCCGCGTCCCCTGCATCGGCAGGCGGACTCTCAACCACTGCGCTACCAGGGAAGCCCCTTCTCACCATTTTTGAAATTTATCTTGTCGGTTCCAAACTATTCTAGCTATTTTTTGAGATACTCTTGTTTGGATAGTTCGGCATATTTTGTTGGGAGGGGGCAGCCTGCCAGCTTGCAGTTAATTTATTCCAGGCATCCGAGTGTCGGGGCAGGTGCACCTGGGGCGTATGCTGCACACCTTCAGGAGGTGCCGTTCTCACAGGCCACAGGAGTCTGGAGCTTTGGATACGAGCAAATACATTTTCCTAGATGTCTCATGACATAAACCTATAAGAAAAGTTAGCACATAGGAAAATGTAGAATTTTTGGAAAGCCACCAAGTCAAATAATGTATATTACATATTTACTATATATAGCGCTCAATGGATGAGAGATAGATGTGCTTTTTTGTTTTGTTTTTTGCTAGCAGTTAGAGGGGGTTTTGGAGTGGCATTCTCTATAGGGTCTTAAAAGTACTCAGCTCCTTCCTTCCCAAGGGCTTGTGACTTCCCTGTCTCTGCTGGCTTCCAGCTTCCATCTGCAGCCACAGCTGCAGCCTTGATCGTCTTGTCCCTGAGGCCGGCTCTAATTTTCTACCTGTCCAAAGGCCTTTCTTTGCCTTGAGGAGACCTCAAGCCCTTACTTCATTCCCTCTGGGAATGTTCGTTCTTCCATGTTTCTCCAATTTCTGTCTGGTTTTCTCCTCGGAGAACAAGAGGCTTTAACAGCTTCAGACTTTATCCTCCCAACTCCAAATCCCAAAGAAAAAGCCCCAACCCCCTTCCTAGAAACCCAAGCAAGAGTTTCATTGCTTTTCATCGCCTCTGGGTCTATTGTTCATCCCTGGACCTATGACAGTGTCCAGGGGAATGTGATGCACCGATTGCCACCAGCCCTACATGCGGGGGTGGGGTGAGCTCTGTCCAACCTTCGGGGTGGGGGTGGGGTGGAGCAGAGGGGCAACACATAAAGCGGAGCTGGGTCCTGAAAACAGCATTTGAAGCTGTACGATCTGCAGCTCAAGTCAGCCCTGCCCTAGTTTTCATGTTTCCAGTTCTGTGAAATTCACTCTTTGATGAAACCAGTTCATCAAAGGTCCATGAAACCAGGGTCAGGGCTTATGTTGTTGTTACTACTTTCAACAGAAAGACTTCTGATTGGAAAAAAAGGGACAGTTGCTTGTGCACAATTCTGTTTTTATTAAAGATAAAGGCACACACACGTGTGTGTGTGTACAGAAAGAGTCTGGAATTATATATATACTTTATATATATATATATATATACCCATACATATATATATACACACATATACGTAAAGTAACGGTGGTTCTATCTGGGACACAGATTTCGAGGTAATTTTTCTTCCTGCATTTTCTGATCGTTATTCAAAGAGCATAGATTGCTGTGTGAGAAAGGGGTCATGTTTATGATTCTTGACCAAGTCGTGAGAATCCATCAGTTCTAGAGGGTAAGAGGAACTTCATCTCATCTACCGTTGACGTTGTAGGAAGGAACATGAGCCAGCTAAACCAGAGTGAGAACTGCTCCTTCCATGACGTGGAGGTGCTGATGAAAACCGTGCAGCTGGCTGTCCACACCCCTACCTTCCTCCTCGGTCTGCTCCTCAATCTGCTCGCCATCCGAGGCTTCAGCTCCTTCCTGAAGAAGAGGTGGCCCTGCTACGCTGCCACCTCCATCTACATGATCAACCTGGCGGTCTTCGACCTGCTGCTGGTGTTCTCTCTCCCATTCAAGATGGCCCTGTCTCACGTGAAGGCTCCCCTTCTTCCCCTCTGTACCCTAGTGGAGTGCCTCTACTTCATCAGCATGTATGGGAGCATCTTCACGATCTGCTACATCAGCCTGGACAGATTCTTGGCCATCCGGTACCCGCTCCTGGTCAGCCACCTCCGGTCCCCCAGGAAGACCTTTGGGATCTGCTTCACCATCTGGGTCCTGGTGTGGGTGGGGAGCACCCCTATCTATAGCTTCCATGGGAAAGTGGAAAACTACACGTGCTTCCACAACATGTCTGACGGCACCTGGAGTGCCAAGGTCTTCTTCCCTCTCGAGGTCTTCGGCTTCCTTCTTCCCATGAGCATCATGGGTTTCTGCTCCTCCAGGAGCATTTGCATTCTGGTCGCCCGTCGGGACCACACCCAGGACTGGGTCCAGCAGAAGGCCTGTATCTGGACCATCGCGGCCAGTCTGGCTGTCTTTGTGGTCTCCTTTCTCCCAGTCCACCTGAGTTTCCTCTTGCAGTTCCTGGTGAGGAATGGCTTTATCGTGGAGTGCAGAGCCAAGCAGAACATCATCTTGTTCCTGCAATTGTCCATGTGTTTCTCCAATATCAACTGCTGCCTGGATGTTTTCTGCTACTACTTTGTCATCAAAGAATTCCGCATGGACATCATGGCCCACCAGCCTTCCAGGGTCCAGCTGGTCCTCCAGAATACCATGACCACCATGGCTAAGGGAAGAAAGCTGAGCTTGGAGGAAGGAAACCTCAGTCTGAATTCCATAGCAGATACCTCTTCCTAGGGCTCTGATATGGGGGGCTGACACATGGCACATTTACTGGTGTGCCGTCCCTCTGATGCTCACTTGAATGACATCTTTGCTCACTGTGACCCCAAACCCTTTCCCCAGCACCCCGACAACTTGATATAAACCACTCAGTGTCTGGGGAGCTCTGAAGAACCTAAGACCCAGGTGAACTCTTGATTTCTAAGCCTAAAAAGCATGAGGTTGGAAGAATTGAGAAAGAGAATGAGACCATCTGAATAAGGCTGTTTCCCAGCTCTCCTCTGTCCTTCTGTTAGGCTAGAAGATTCTGGAAAGGAAGAGAGAGAGGAGTTAGGAGAGAGAATCAAGAGGGTTGGCATGGAGGAGAGATGGAGTGGGAGAGATGGACCAAGCTCCTTTTTGGTTTGTGGATCCCGGCGTGGAGCAGCTGTACTTTCTGGTCTCTTCTGGAGCTCTGTTGGCCCATGACCTCACAGAGATGCCAGCGGAATGTGTGACTGGGGAGAGCAAGTATGTGCAGAGAGCCCCGAGTTTTCTATGGGCCTTGGAAAGGCCTGGAAGGCCAGTCACACCTTCCTGTGCCCAGGACAAAGCTGCAGACGGACTGAGGCAGGCTGGTGTGGACCAGGCTTTGTGATGCTGTGGACACTTTGTGAAAATAGTGGGGACAGAGTGGAAAGGCACTGGTGACACCTGAGAGCCACGAGGGGGCAGGGTATACCTGGGAAAGGTAGGAGACAGGCCAAGGGCCGGAATTGGGCAACCCCTCCCGCATTGCCATGGGGGCGTCCACTGCGTGGAGTTTGAGCTCTGGCCCAGGGGGAGGAGAGGCAGTAGAGACAAGCCTGGGAGTGGGAAATTCCTGGACATGACCAGCTTGCTCTCTTGAACAGGCTACGATGTTGTTGATTAGGTTTAGTTTCCTTGAGAATGATGAGAAGGAATCACACTTGATTCGGTTCAGCCAGAGGAGAACAAGGTGTTTGTCTTGCCCACCTGAGTCCTGGCTGGGCAGCCGGCCACAGTGGCACCATCCACAGAGATGTCCCCATCCGGTGGCTGGGAGGGAGAAGATGAGGCAGCCAGGAATAGAGGAACCATCTTGACGACACAGAGCTCTTGGCAGTTCCTCGTTGGAAACTGTAAACGATTGAATCATAGTTTGGACTGGGCTTCTCTCATGCTCTAGAGAAGGTGCAGTGGTGGCAGCTGAAAGCCTGCCACTGACTCAGCCTCCGGAGAGTGAAATGGTGATCAGGATAAATTGTGGGGTGGTTTGCAAGACGGAGTGAGTGGGATGAGAAGTAACAAATGAGACAATGTGAACGGGGTCGGGGGGTTACTTTAGGAAGAGAAGCAACCGCCTATACCTCAGGAGAAGAGGCGTCCACCGCTAAGCGGTGGACGGAAGGGAGGGGTGGCTGTCGGGGGGGGAAAGAGGGCGATTTAGATAAAACCCTGAGGAAGGAGGAGGTGAGGTTGGGTAACAGTCTCAGGCTTGAAGCGCTGGGGCTCTGTGAGGGGTTGGGGGTTGGGGTGTGAGACCAGCAGGAAGGATGGAGGGCAGAGCGGCTTCCTGTCTGAGAATCCTCAATTTGACTGAGAGCCATAGAAGGGCAGAAGCCCCACCTTCTCCCCCCTCCCCTGCGGTCAGTGGTCAGGTGGCACTCTGTGGGGCTGGAGGGAACGGTGAGGAAGAAAGGGTAGAAATGGGTGCAGAGCAGTGATCACGGCCAGGACCAGAGGCTCCCGCCCCTCAGACTGGGCCTCCATGAACTGGCAGCCGGGGCAGGAGCTCCGCAGACCCAGAGATGAGTCCTGCCCAGCTGCTCCAAGCCCTGGACACTCCTCCGCCTGCCTACAGGCTGCACAGTCCCGTGGCCATCCTGGGCTGAGGCACACTCGTGCTAGTCTCAGAAAGCCAGACATGTATCCAGCAGGACACTGGGCTGGATGGGGTCAGAGCCCATGGGTGGGTGGAGTTAGGAACCGCCCACCTCCAGTTTCTCTCTTTGCACTGGGAGCTGGGAGCCTGCCCAGTGGAGCTGAGTGGCGCGGTTCATGCTGCAGTTGTATCTACCAGTGTGCTTAGGGCCAGACAGGCTTCTAAAGAGGAAAGGGATGGTGGGGCCCTGATGACCCATCATCCCCAGTGATGTCTGCAAACATGCAGTCTTGTCTCGTGGGCAGCATGACTCTGCCGAGCCAGGGGACAGAGGGCCGGAGGGGAGTATAGACTCACAAGCTGCGTAACTATTAGGTGTAGGTCCTTGGAAGGATGTGGCACACTGGGGTTGATGTGACAACTGTGGAGGTGAGCCTTGGGAACCGCTGACTGATCCCAACACGCTAGGGGGAGAAGATGGGCCTCTTCTCTCTCCCTATGAGGACCCATCCTGGATTGCATGTCACAGAGGACCCATGAGGGTCTGTGGGAGTGGGCACAGGCCCAGAGCTGCAGGCTAGGCTGCTCTATAGGAGGGTCCACACTCTGGGCTAAGTCATCAGGCCCAGCAGGCACAGAAGGGGCAGAGGGTCAGGGTTAAGGTTACTGTGCTGATGCATCCAGGGCCCACCCTGCAGCGAGTGGCAGTCAGTGGGTTAGGGACGGCTGACATTAGTTGTGGAAGAGGCTGAAATTTTCACTACTAAAACCCATGGAGGCTTAGGGACATTGTCTGGCCTTATTTGTACTCCTAATCTGGAAAAATCTGAGATACACAGGGTATATGTACATGTGTGAACCTAGGACAATTAACTGGAAAACTAATTTGAATAATCTGATTTGCCAAATAAATAGATTCGATGATGCTGAGTAACCTTGTCTTGGGCTACCCTTATTGACCTCAGAGAAGAGCTGGTTGCTGATGGCCCTTCTCAGGTGACCCAATAACCTTGGGCAAAGGAACTATGAAGGGACCATGTCGAAGAAGCCACCTGGATACGGAGTCTGGGAGCACAGAGATCCACCCTCTGGCCTGTCCCAGGAGCACAGCTGGGGCCTGTCCCAGGTGGCCAGGAGCCAGACCTTGCAGGGTCTAAATGTAGCCCTCACATCCACTTGGGTACTTGGTTCTCTGGGACAGCAACTGGGCCACACAGACCCCACAGGCTGTGGTCCCTCCAGCTCTGAGTCCACTCCACCCTGCTCCCGCCATCTTGTCCCACCACCACCATGACACTGGAGCTGCCTCCAAAGGCCCTGAGTCCTGTGCACACATTGTGTGGCCCAGCTCAGGAGACCTGTTGACCACTAACAGGCTGAAGACACAGAGCCAGTTCTCCAGAAGTCCTCCACTGATGACCCCTCCCTTCTCTGACCACCCACAGAGTGAGTCCGTTTCTCCCAGGTTATATCTGAGTTTTCCTTCATGGCTCATCCCATGTGAATCCTACTAACCTATCCAGAGCTCCTGGAGAGTGTGAACAGCCAGGCGCTGGCCTGGGCCACCCCGTTCTCCTGAGTCCCCCACAGTCCTGAGCACAGCCCCATTGTGGCCTGCGTGCCAAGGGATGACTGGGGGCATCCTTGCTCCTTGATGGCTGCTGTGGACTGAACTGTGTCTCCCCCCAAAAACGTATGTTGAAGCCCTAACCCCCGATGTGATGGTATTTATGGATGGGACCTTTGGAAGATACTTAGGTTCCTTCCTAAGTATCTTCCTAAGTATCTCCTTAAGATGAGGTCCTGAGGGTGGAGCCCTCATGACAGGATTCGTGCCCTCATAGGATGAGGCACCAGAGTGCTTGCTTCCTCCTGCCCCATACACTGAATGGGAGCTCCATGAGGACACAGTGAGCAGATAGCCCTCTGCAACGCAGAGAGAGAGCCCTCAGCAGACATCAACCCTGCTGGCACCTTGATCTTGGACTTCCAGCCACCAGAACTGTTGTGAAAGCCAACAGGTCTGTGGTATGTTGTTATGGCAGTCTGAGAAGGCTGATTCAACAGCCATCTTCTGCTGACCCAGAAGCCAGCCACATCTGGGCCACATCCCCTCAGGGGCAAGGACTGACCCTCCCTTGGAATATTGGCCCCCAGGGAACATTTGCATGGAGAATGCTGGTCCACCAACTGCATTTGCCACTATATTCCTACTGAGTCTCTCTGGGGACCCTATGAAGCTAAGAGTCACTGTATGGATGCTACGTAGCTGCTACAAGATACTAATGACATTTGTAGTGAGATAACAGCCTTGTTACCACAAATAAACAGTGATTGCACAGATGCTTGAAATGGCTGACACCTGGTGGGCACCTGTAGAGACTAAGAGAGGTTAAAAAGGATTCTGGTGAGAGATCAGTGAGGAGAGAAATTGAGAAGAGCAACCGTGTGGGTGTGAGGAGTGTCTGGTGTGCAGAACAGTCACGAGAAAGGGACAGGGATGCCCCTACGTAGGAACCACGTGGGGATGGTGGTGATACCCACACCAGACCACCCTCCATTGACCCTAGAGGGTAGGCTGTGCTGTGCGCAGTGACCTTCCAGGGCCACCGTGAGACCCCACTGCCGAGGGGGGAGAGGATTCAAAGACCCACAGAAAAGTACCACAGAGATATTTGGTGGGGGGAGAACAACCCCTGAAACTACCACTGCAGCTGCCTCTGGCTTTTTTCCACCCAAAGCCAGCTTCTCAAGTGAGCCCAGGACTCAGAGCTGTGAGTGGGCATTTGAGGGAGAGCGTATGGCAGGCGGGTCAAGGCGGACTCGGGAGCTCGGGGTGGAAGGACAAACAGACGCCCCTCTGCCCCAGTTCAGGCCCCACCCCCTGCCACAAGCCTGCGAGATGTGTCCTCTGCACAAAGCCGCTGCATGAGGGCCCACAGGACGCTAGATCGGGAGCTAAATGTGGCCCTCGGTGCTTTGAAGTCTCCGAAGCCCTGTCACTTCAAAGCCTGACGTTGCTTCTGCTGCGGGGGGCAGGGGCCCTGAGTTCACCTGGAAGCCTCAGCCAGACTTTGTTCTGGGGACCTCGCTTAAGCAAGTGTAACCCTGCGAGGGAGGCTGTTGAGACCTCAGGCTCTGAGGGGCACCTACAGTCACGCAAAAGGCACCTCAGGGTGCGTCTGTGTAACAAACATCTCTGTGAAGTGTGTTCTGCTGCCAGAGACCCCTCTCTGAGGGGGGCTCAGGGCTGCACATCATGGGCGACGGTGCACAGACACGTGTGCATGGCTTCTCGTTCAGGGAGGAGTGAGGACCAGTGGAGGCTGCAGAGAGGTTTGGAAAGGTGTGCAATTATCAGACCTGCCCTGGCTCAATGCAGAGGATCCAAGTAGCTGATCCTCATGGATGGTGCCTGAACGAGGCGTCCAATGACCCAGGAATCGTTGGGTGAGGTCCAGGGCCAAACCACAGCTCTTGGAGTGGATGGTGGGGTTTCCCTGAAGGGCAGAGAGGCCTCATGGCCAAGGGTCTGGGATGGTCAAGGAAGTTTCCAAAGTACTGGCACCAGACAGGTGGGCAGACCTCCCCCCGAGATGTGCCAGGTGTTGTTGCCCCTGGATTCTGGGAAGGGCCGCCTCCGATGGCAGAGACAAGCCTCTTGGCTGTGTTTTTCTTCCCGTTTTCCAGTCTTCAGCACAGACTTAAAGTGGGAGCCAGGGTTCGGCTCTCACTGATGGGAATCCAGCATGTGCAGCAGAGTGGAGCTCATGTAGATGGAAACCCAGCAGGCGTTTGGGGGACTTGTCAGCATGTCCTGGGGCAGGAGACCCAGAAGTACTTGCGGAGGGGAACCTGGCAGAAAATGGACATCTGCACTGACGGGAGCAAACTGATGGTTCTTGGGTATTAAGAAAATTTGACTTCAGAGGCTGGTACATTTAAGCCACATGGATAAAATAGGGATGAAAATGGATGTAATGGAGCTGGAAACTCTTGCACGCTGTAAAACCCATCCCTAGGGAGGGAATGGTGTATAACCTGCAGGGCTGCCATAACAAAACACCACAGACTGAGGGGCTTAAACAACAGAAATTTCTTTCTCACAGTTCTTGAAGTCTACATTCAAGATCCGACAGTGTGTGGTTTCTCATGAGAGCTCTCAGCCACCTTCACACTGTGTCCTCACGTGGTGGGGACGGAGGGAGGGAGGAGGACGTGCACGTGAGCTCCGGTGTCTCTTCTTATAAAGACACTAATCCTGTCAGATCAGCGTCTCACTTTTATGACCGCATTTTACCTTAATCACCTCCTAAAGGCCCTATTTCCAAAGCAGCCACATTGTGGGTTACAGTTTCAACATATAAATTTGGGCGGAGGGGCACCATGCAGTCCATTGCACGCGGATTTACTCTGTGTATAAATTTGGGGGGAGGGGCACCATGCAGTCCATTGCACACGGATTTACTCTGTGATCTGGAGCAAAAGGAGTGTTGTGCTTCTTTTGTTTCTTCAGATTGAATGTCACCTGCTCTGAACTCATCAAGCTTTACTGTAGGATATTCCAGCTCCATCATCTGGAGCTCCCTCCCTCTCCCAGGACCTGCACAAGTCCTAGGGATGGGGTCCCTCAGTGGCTGCACTATTTACGGGAGCCTCTGAGTCTCAGGTCACACTGGTCACAGCTGTGGTGTCCACTTAACAGTCCCTTCAAACACTTGGGCATGAAGCTCATCCCCGCGGCCCGGAGAACTTGGTGTTAACTGGTCTTTCCCCTTCAAGCCCGAGGCTCCCTTCGGCCATCCTGCCACTCCATGGGGAGGTGGAGTCTTGTCCTGGCTCTTCTGGGGAACTATAACAGCCTGCACCTTCCTGGGCTCGGGGAGCTGGGGCTCTAACCTCACTGAGCCCGGCCACACTCCTCTGTACTCCCCACCCACAACATCCTGCAGGGATTTCTTTACCCGACCTCTGGACAAAAAACCTGGCTTCCTTTTCAGGCAGAGGGAATGGAAGAGACTTTTGTTTTTTTTTTTTGGAGGGGGGAAGAAAAATTAAATCCTGTTTATTTTTAAAACCAAACCACTAGGAAAATATATCACAGTCTTGAAATGGCAAACAGACAGGCTATGTTATCATTTCAAGTAACAAGGTCCTTATCAAAACTATAAGATGCTAGAACTGGAGCAAGAAGAACGCATGTCACAAAAGCCCAGGCAAAGGTTGTATTTGGTAACAGAGGGCGGTCCTTCTTTTGCACTAAAGGAGTCACAGCTCGCCCCCGAGCTGCTGACTTTCTTTCCCTTGACCTTCGTGTTGCCAAGGGACTGTCTCAGTAGAGCTCTGTTATTTCAGGGGGCAGAGTAAGTAATACTGGGTTTAGGCTTTCACTCTATTCTGTTCTTTGAAAACCAGATTTTTCCAAAGCCAGTACTTCATAACTCTCTTAATTAAGCAGCCAACAGTTCCTCTTTCACTCTTCATTCCTGAACACTAGCACATAGCACAATCAAAATCCTCTTTGCCTTCAAGGGTGAGTGTCACTGCGAGATTGTCTTGTCAGTCTGCTGCAGACAGCCTCAGGGCCCACCATGGCTGCCAGGGAGAGGGAGGGTTTGCTTCCCCTACCGGTGTGATATCGCTTCTTACGTTTTTGCAGGGTCTCCAGGCTGAAAGATGTCGTGTGTGAGAATTTTAAGAAATGCACATCCACATCTTGATGGCCAGAAATGGACTCTTTCAAAATTTTTGTCCAAACTACCGCTCCCAACTCTACATCTTAAGTAACTTCATGCCCTTGTATAGAAAACAAAACCAAGCAAAACAAAACCCCAGAAGCCCCCTTTCCCGTTCTAAATTAGGGACCTCCTGGATTTTGATTTATCACAGTTTGTGGAAGGTGTAGTGGTGATCCTTCTGGCAAACAGGAGATTG